GAGAGGAGAGGCAGAGACAGAGACAGAGGAGAGGCAGAGGAGAGGCAGAGACAGAGACAGAGGAGAGACAGAGGAGAGGCAGAGGAGAGGAGAGGAGAGGCGGAGGCGGAGGCGAGGAGAGGAAAAGCAGAGGCAGAGGAGAGGCGGAGGCGAGGAGAGGCGGAGGCGGACAGTGGAGGGATTTTGACAGGCTGGAGGTGCTGTGCTGGGGGTGCCACAGCCTAAAGGCAGGGGGCGCCCTTTGGTTTCCGCACCCCCCCACTTTCCGTGACTCCTTTAACCCGGAGACGCGCAGGGTCAGCCTTGAGCCGCAGCCTCAGCTCAGGTTGCCGGTTGCATTCCGCTCTCAGTCCCGGAGCACGCGCTGTGCAGGCCGCGGTAACTAAGAGCATGTCCAGAATAGAGGGGCCCGTGGCATTCTTTTTTATTTTTTTAAATTTTTTTATTTTTAAAGGAAGGTTGACTAGGACAAGCAGGAGTTTTCTTTTTTTCCTCTGGGTTAAATTTTAGGCCACGTGTCTGGATGTTAATCTTTTGGCACAGACTTTGCGCATTTGGGAAAGTCAGTCAGAGGGAATGTCGGTGCTTTTTGTGAGCGTCTGTTGGAAGGGAAGCTGTGTTACAATTTTGGAGGACAAGAAACGAGTTACTAACCGAATACCTGCTCTTCTGTCTCTAACCATGGATTTTACATTTTATTTGTTTATTTTTTTTGTTTGCCTGAGCCCGGTAGAGTGTAACATAGTGCTTCATCCAGGCTAACCTCCCTCCCTCCCCTCGTAGCAGAGGCTCAGAGTTAAGGCTGCGCTTCCTGCGGATGAATGTGCCCCAGGTTGGAGCCCCTCTCCTCCCTCCTGATGGAGACAGCTGCAGGAGCATGGCACAGGCTCCCCCCCCCCAGCTGCTCAACCTGCAGGGACCCTCTGCCACCACCCAGGCCAGGGGTACAGCCAAGTGCCCGCAAGGCTCAGGTTACCCCTGCAAGCCAGCCAGCCCACTAATGGTCAGCCCTCACTAGAAACGCAGCCGTATTCCAGATACTTGCCTTTTTATTTTAAAATGTATCACGGGAGTCTAGGTTTGAGTATTACAATGGAATTGCCACTTGATCTTATTCCTCAGTATTCAGAACATTGTGCTTTTAATCTAAAGTAAGGGAAAAAATGCTTTGCCTGGGTAGGATACTTTACCAGCGTAGGTTACACTCATTAGCAAAGTAATGACCTTGTGGCCAGAAATAACAAATAACTTAGACAAAGTGATTTCCCCCTCTTAGGAAAACACCTTTGAGCTACACATATTTTGTGATAATTTCAGTCATTTAAAAAAATTGAACCGGGAGTGAAAGCTTCCAGAAAGCTCTGATTTCATTATTTTTGTTGTTCTTAAACGTAGAAGCAACCAGAGACCAGGACAACCACCTCCAGGTGGACTGAGCTGAGAAAGGGGAAAACTTTCTGCTAACACATGAGTGTTGATTGAGAGACAGAAAGGGAAAACATGCATTCAAATGAAGATGTGGATTTATTTTTAATAAAATCCATATATTCTTTGGCAAAATACATACAGTTCTTTGGTACTGCTTTCCAAGGGCTCTGTAAAATGTTTTACGGGTTTTTTTGTGTGTACAAGTTCAAAATTAAAACACCCACCATAGAATTTTTTGAATAAACCAAGATTGCTGGGCATGTGGCAGGGACACCAGGATGGGCTTCAGTAAGAAACTGTAAAATCAAAACAGGAGACACCTTCTAACCAGCGGGGCTCAGGGAGTTTCATGTCTGCTTCCACCTTCAGAATCCGCTTCTGACCTGGGTATTGTCCTTTCCCGCTGGAATGTGGCACAGCAAGTTCCAGCAGGTGTCCTCCCTTCCTGTCACTGGGCAGAGTAGGCTGGGCACTGTTGCTGAGAGGGACCGACAACCACAGCCAAAGACCTTCACTTGTTTTGTCTTTCCTTTTGTCTGCAGGGGGTGCAGCTTTTATTTTCCCCAATACTTCAGTATATCCTGAAGCTACGCAAAGAATTACAACTAGGCCAGGTACGAAAACACCCCTGTGCGCTCTGTTCATTGAGAGACAACCCAGGATGGCACGTGAGGTCCGTGACCTAAGTCACGTGATGCCGAGAGAGCCGGTCCTGGACCCCAAGGGAATCCCAAACAGTCCTATTCTGCCTCTGTGGGTTTGGAGCCTAATTTCATTCAAAGATCATGCTCACGGGCCCTTTTAATCCCTGTGGAATTAAAAGCAGATCAGCCCCTTAACTAGCTGCTTGGAAAGCAGATGGGCAAAGGTGGCCTCATGGGTGCCCGGCAACCAGGAATCCATCCGCTTTTGAGTTCAGTGAAGGACCTGAGTGTAAATATTGCTCCTTAAGGGAACAGCACAAAGCAAGAGGAAGTCCCATAAAAGTCGTGATGTTTAAGCAGTGGTCCTGATTTTACCGCAGAGGCACCACCTCGAACCCTAGCGCTGCAGGAGCAGGGGGGGAAGGAGTTCACCCCACCATCGGAGGGGGAAGGGGGCTTCCTAGAGGGGACCCGGTATGGCCAGGGAGGGGTGGATGTTTGCCAGGTGGAGAGGGAGGGGAGGGCATTTCGGACAAGGGACAGTATGCCTTAGACATCTGTCCCCTCACAAGACATACCACAGCCCCATAAGCTAGATATTACCTTGCCCGCCTGCCCCTGCCCTGTCACTGCCCTAGTGGCTTCACACTGGCCATCTCCTCTCTAACCGCTGAGTAGACCCTTGCTCCCCTGCCCTGAGAAGCCTGGCGGGGTGGCTCAGCCCAGTGCAATGTTAGCTCCGTCCTGTGGGAGATCGCACAGGCCACTCGATCTTGGACAGGACCCAGGGTCCCGAATAAACTAGACCTGCCCTCTGGAAACCCACCTGTGTACTGAGAGTGGAAAACACAGGGGCCCATTTTCCTCCAGCTCTAGAGAGTTCCGAGTTTACACTTAAATGCTTCCTTGGGTTTTGTGAGCAATTTTAAAAATATTTCCATCTTTACTTAAAAAAAAAAGCTATCTGTAGACCATTGGCCAGGATTTGCCTGTTTGTTTGTTTGAAGCTATCTCACGGATGCTTCTGACCAAGTTACAAAAGCCAGGGATTGTGAGCGGGTGTTGAGTTGTATCAAACGACTACAACATCGGCCAAAGGAGTTGGTACAGCCCAGTGGTCAGAGCAGCTGGCAGCTGCTTGTTGCTACATGGATAGAACTGTGCATCCTGGGACTGCTTTTTTCCATGTTTGAGGATATGGTGGATTTGGAAGATAGGGCCCATCCAGGTGATGAGTGGCTGGGAGGGTGAGAGCTGGGTCACCAGCTCTCTGCTTGAGCCAAGGGACAGATGAGGGCAGAAAATTCAGATGCACCTCCTGTGGCTCCGATAATGTCCTTCCTTGCATCCATCATTAGAATGTGACCTGGGAGGGATCCCACTTCCATATCTCCATTAGCAGTGGAGTATGTTTCTGAGACTCAGTTTGTGTCAAATATGCCTGTTTTGATGACTATACTGTGCTTATGAAAGGAAATAAAAATAGTGATGTCGGACCTAAAGAGAATTTCAGCCAGACTGAACCAGCAGAGAACTATTTGCTGTAAGCCAGATGCAGGGATTCGCCCTTGGAGAAGAGAATTATTTGTGTGCGTTGGGCGGAGCAGTGACCAACCTTGAAGGAAGGGTCTTGTGAGTGTGACAGCCTGTGATAGTATAAGTGGGGATCGCTTTGGCAGCTCAGGGGGTGTGGGCATTACTGAGCTGATCCCCAAGGCTGCAGGAGTCATGGGGGAGGGGTCACTGGGAGTGTGACTATGTCCTCTGGTCTGTGGGCATCTTTCTGCTTTCAGAAGAGGTGAGTGTTGGCTCTTCCTTTGGGCGAGTCCTTGAGCCCCTGGGATGAAGACCCGAGTTCTGTCCCTTGCACTCTTGCTTGGCTATGTCGTGGTCTTGGTGTCCTTTCCACTTCCCCACTCCCACATCCATGGAAACAGTACTCCTTCCCCCTGAGTCCTGCCGCCCAGTCCTGCTTCCCACCCACCTCCCTCCTTCCTTCCTTCCTTCCTGCCTTGAGTAACTATCCCTGGGCTGCTTCCCCCAATCTCCCCTTTTGTGGCTGAACTTCCCAAATGGGTCACTTATTCCAGAGTCCCCTTACTGCTCACCCTGTCAAGTCACTGTGGCATTTCAGTTTTCCCCGGAATCAGCTGGCACTGTTTGGAGGCAGGCCTTTCGGATAACCACTTACGGACCTTTCAGTCCTCCACCCCTCCACCCCTCTCTTCCCATGCTTGTTCCTATTAACGTTTCCCAAATGTTCCTGATTCGACATGCACCCCCTTTCCTGATCCCTGTGTTACAAATTAGCATTCAGCGCAGCCTCTCCTCCACTCTTACAAAGTGTTGGCACATAGCACATCACTTTGCATTCCATTTTTATGAGCATTATTTTACCCATTTTTAAACACATGTTTCACGTGTTGCTCACGTTGTCAGTTATTGCTCTCAGATTCCCTTTCCCCGTATCCCTCCTCCCCTGCTAAACACAGGCGTTCGGAGCCCAGGCCCCTTGAGGTCTCCAGTGGCGTGAACAGAGACAGGTCTGACTCGCAGAAACTTGTAAGCTGGTTTCTGACCTGGAGATGTGCCACCCCCCCGGCATCTTAGGGGCAGTTTCCGTGAAAGCTCTCGCATGTGCCGAGGTGGACATTCTGTAAGCCCCTCCTCCCCTCCTCCATCACCATGGCAACTCAAGCATCATGGTACCCATCTAGGATGTTATCAAAAGAAAACAGAGAGCTGAGCCTGCAAGTGCTGCCTTGACTTTCACTTTTCAGCGGCTGCTCTTCAAGGGTTTCTTGGATTATAAATTATCCCTCCGTTAGAGTTCGCAGCGCAGTGGCCACTCAGCATCACAGGCACCGCCAGACAGCGAGGCGACGCACCTTCTCCCCAGTGGGTGCTTCACAGGGCCTGTGTCTTAGCAAATGGCTGCGCGTGCATTCGTTGCTGTCCTGTAGCTATGATATCACCAGAGGTCTGCAAACCTAGACAAGAAGGGAAGGTAAAATGCCCCAGATCGCCATGTCACTGATGGAGGATTTTAGAAGACTGTAGGGAGATCTGGAGGAAAACAGGAGCAACTTCATCATCTTAGGGTTGACTCTGAATCTTCCTCCCATTAAACTGGGGTTATAGATTCATTCTGGGCAGCAGCCTTTGGTCTTTCTGTCTTTGCCATTGGTTCTACGTTTCCTGAGAGCCAGCAAGGCTCACCCTTTCCCGTCTAGCCCAGCTAGGCACCTCCGGAGTTGCCTTGTAAATGTCGGGTGGGTCCTGCAGATTGAGCATGACTCTCCCATGATCCAGGTTCTGGCCCTTTAAAAATAAAGTGAGTAGGTGGACGTCAAGAGAGCCAGAGGGCTATTTTCCAGTGAGCTTGAGAAAGAATATAAAACCTGGTGAAACTAACTCTGCAGGAAGGGCCCAGAGGATGTTGTCTTGGCCACTCGATGTCTAGGGAGGAGGTTGGTGGGGGAAGGAGAGGCATTGAGAATCAGGAACCAGTCCTGGCTCCCAGTAAATAAACGAGGCGCAGTGTGGAGGAGCCAACACCGAACTCCCTATTTGTAGCTCCTTGTTTTTTGGTCCAGATCATGGCATGTACATACTTCTGTGTAACCCTGGGCTGCCTCTGGAATGGCTTTTACAAAGTTCAGATTTTACACACAGTCTTTTATAGAAAATAATAGCTGGATCATTGCCAGATATCCACCTTCCCCAACGCAGGGCCTTCTGCCAAGAGTTCATTGCCTTGAAGATCAAGGTTGAAGAGAAGTGGAGAGTGTACTGAAGCGGCCACTGAGAATTAAGTGTGAAATGCATCCTTACCTGAAGCGCTCCGGGACAAGCAGCCGGTGTGCAGGGAGCAGTAATTTTTCAACAGCTCTGCTGTCCCTGCTCTGAGGGGCGGACATGCTGACGCGGTCGCCGCCCGCCCTGCTGCATCTTGGCGAGGCTGAGCTCAGCGTTTCTCATGTCACATCCTGGGGGGGGGGTTGGGGGCCCCAGCATGTGATCGGCAGCTGATAAGGCAGCGCTGCACCAGGACGTCACGAAGGCAAACAGAGCCGCTTACCTTCCATGGCAACGTGCTTATGAACGTGGTAGTCATTGCTCACGTAAACCGCTCAGATTCTTGGCCCAAAGTCAGACTTGGTGTTGTTTAGGCCCTGACTTCTTTTCAAGGGAGGGTGGATGTAGTTATATACCCAAAGGAGGATTTTATGAAAAAGGAAAGTTTCAAAAATATTTTTCTATTAGTAGTTCAGTGTTTAATTTTTTCCAGTCACATTGGAATAAACATAAAACATAAAAAAAGCAATACTTTTTTTATGTTTGAAAGAGTAGCAAACTAACCTACTGACAGTTGCTGTTAATTCTGTTAGCGTTCTTATATCTTAGGCGAAACCATTCAATCTAGAATTCTCTCCACACATTTGTTTGTGTTCACACACTTAAGATAGTATTTCTGAAATCATCGTCTGCAGGGACACAGCCTTCTAAAAAACAGCAATGGGAATGGTCTAGAACGGGCTTTCTCAAGTGTCAATGTGCACCCCAGTCCCCTGGGCTCTTGTTAAAAGACAGGTTCTGAAATAGTAGATCTGGAGTGAGGTTCTGAATTTCTAACAAGCTCCCAGATGTTGCCAGTATTGCTGGTGTGCGGACCGCACATTGAACAACAAGGATCTAGAACTTACTTCTCTATTATCTTGCTCTCATTTGGTAAACAGAAGCCCCTGGCATTCCCAGCCCCAAGCTCTCTCCATCCCGGGACATAAATAGGGCAGGCGTGTAAGTCTCTGCTCCTGGATTGGGCTAGATGCTGTTATGGTTGCCATACTAATAGGTTTTTTTTGCTCTGAGACAGTTCTCAAATTGAAACTCTGGTTAACCATTTTTTAGACAAAATACAACTGGATAAGAATCCGTATGCAAAGTGCTCCCAGAGACTTAAGTTGCAATGTTGTCATAAATTGATAGCAGCTGCCGATTTAAATCCTATGTGCAACCCCAACACCAGAAAAGTGAGATTTTTGAGGAGCTGGGTGGGAAAGGCTGGCGGTCCAAAAATGCAAAAATGCCAGCCGACAGGGAGTGGTGAGCAACAGCGGAGTTTAAAAACAAAAATCATCCAGCTCAACCAAAGCCCTGAGGGTAGGATTTCACCGACCACACCACTGGAGACGCGTGTAGCCAGACAGACCAAATAAATTACGGCGACTCTGTGTTGAATTTCACGTTGCATTTCACTGCTGTTCTCTCTGGGATAGGAAAATAGGAAGAGACACATCTTCTGCAACGTAGTCCAGCGTTTTGAAGATTGACCCACCAAATTGCCAATTTTAAATACGGTTAAATATCTATTTAAAAAGAGGCTTAAAGCATGTTACATCGCGCTGCCCTCCAAGTGCGATTTTGGAGCCATCTCCAGGCGTCTGGCAGCGGAATTCACGCTGAAACATCTGGCTGTGGTTTCTCAGTTGGCCCAGAGTGACACATGGCATTGAACTGAGACCCATCAATCCAAGGAGACCTAGTGTTTCGATGGTTCTGTAATCAGATGGCAGGTAGAAGCAGTTTTGTATATGCACAGTTCGAGCATGCATAATAATGTTCCTTGAATATGTTTTTGAAAGAAACTTAAAATGACTTAGAGTCTTCATAACCATTAATAGAGCATGCACTGAGGATGCAGAAGTAGTTATTAAATTTGCACATGCAAAGTGCATAAGGATTTATGGGACACATGGTAACCCATGACAGATACAAAGACATTATTGGTCTCTACTTACACTCTTATGATGATTGCTGACATGTTGTGGGGACACTGCTATTTCAGTCCTGCAATTTATTTCATGCAATTTATTTTAGAGAAATTCTAAATTCATTTAGAAAAGGAGACGTTTGCATAGAAAAGTAAGTAGACAGTTAGGACCGATCTAACATAGATGGATGAGATGATAAACAGAAGGTGAGGGGCGGCCGAGAGAGGCAGCTGGGAAACAAGGAGAAGGCAGTGCTCGTTTTCAGGGGAGGAAAAGGGAAAGGAACGTGAGCATCATTTAGTGGATTGAGCTGCCGAGCTCAGGCAAAGATTGGCCGATTCATCAGAGTTGTGGGCTCTGTTCAGGATGCGTCCTGAAGATAAAAAAGGGGTGGATATAGGGCAGACAAATTCAATTGGGAGGAACTTTCTGTATGGCCATGACCTGTGGTTGTAGGAGATTACCTTGGAAGAGTCAGCAAGCTCTGGGAGAATCTGTCGTTGGGAGTTTTCAGATTAATGGGTGGAAATGTTAGGTCAATAAAATATACAAAATTAGAAGTTGTAAATAAAATCCAAATCTAGTGGAATCCAGGTTGAAAATTTCTTTGGGTTACTGGATTTTCTTGCACAGTATTTATTCAGATAAACACAAGACAAGCAACATATAAAATATCTGTTGTAAAATTGCATTATTGATCTTTTAGTCAATTTATTTGTCTTTACAGATTTACCTTATGAACCACCCAGGAGATCAGCCTGGACCGGTCATGGCCACCCCACCTCCCAGTCAAAAGGTATAGTGTTGGCCCCTACTGCCTTGAATCTGTGTGTCACAAGACAGTGGGTACCTCTTGATGGAGTAAATAATAATTTCTGTAGCTAATCTGTGCTTTTTCAACATGGAAAGTGTTTGTCCCATTGGCAGCAAAAGCACAACTAGTCTTTAAATGCAACAATTCTTTCTCTGTTGGGGTTATATCTACTTATACAACAAAGGGAAAATGGCTGATGTGATGTATTTCAACAGGCGCTCACTCATGTCTCATGGGATGTTTGAGTACAGATTAAATACTGAGCGATTTCCTAACCTTGGCCATGTTGAAAGCATCCCTTGCTTTATTTTGTTTTGCTTTACTTATTTTATACTGATTCACTTTAATCTGTTTTGTAAGCCATCTCAAATTCTTGTCATTTTTTTAGTTTTGGAAAAAGTGGGGTACAAATAAATTTTTAAAATAATATAAAATGCTCTTTTTTTGCTACAAGGACTACATTTGGTTTCATGAGAAAGGAAATTTTTTCCTTACCATAAGATGTTTCTTATTATAAAAGTAAGACTTATGTTACTAAGATAGTCGATGGAATGATGATACAACAGAATCAGGGACTAGTGGCTAGATATTAGTGATAGCTAATTGTCTCTCGTATTTTTGCATTTTCAGCTGCTCAACCGTCTCCTTCCACAGTTCCCAAAACTGAAGACCAGCGGCCTCAGTTAGGTATGTTTCAGGGAGCCTCTCAGTGGCCATTAGAGAAGGACAGGTTTTGTAGCATATTTCTAAAATGTGTCATTTTCTGAATGAGACTCATATTACGTTGCCTTCTTTACAACTACTTCATATATAAAATGGGGACAAATTAAATGGTCAGCCTCCTCAAGTAGGATGACTGGAGATGTTGTTAAAACATCTCCAGAATCTATACAATAAACGTGGAGGGAAACATTCTGCTTGCAACAGGCTGCTTCTTTGTGACCCACAAATTCTATTAATGTCGCCTTACAGCCAGGTGCTGCAATACCAATGCTGGTGCCAAGTCTACTCGGAAACACGGTGGGAGGTTGATGTTATCAGTGGTGTCAGCATGGCCAACACGGTGCCTGCTGACTGGGGACTTACACACGTTTGCCCTGTTTATGTCCTGGAGGGAGCACGGGGCTAGGTGAATCCCAAGCCAAATCTGAGCTCAGCCAAATGAGGAGCCCCTTAGCAAGAGACTTCTCTCAGATCCGCTGTGGCATCTTATCTAACACAGGAAGTGGTGGTGGCAATAGGCGACCTTGGTGTGGGGCACATTTTCAGCTCTGCAATCTGGAAGCAGAGGAGGCTCAGCATAAGGCCTGCAGTTTCGGCTCAGCGAGTCATGGCTGTGTCTTTGGGTTTTGACTTCTTTTCATTTTGCCGTAGATCCCTATCAGATTCTTGGACCAACGAGTAGCCGCCTTGCAAATCCAGGTGAGACACTGTTGATGCTATTGCTCTTGCAGAGTTACCCTTGTGACAGTGGCTATTGTGAAAGATAAATTTGCCATGTTGACAAATTCCTTCAACTGAACAAATTTTAAGTGTAGGTCTCACTGGATTATTTGCCCAAAGGGAAAAAAAATGGGTCAGGTTATAAATTAAGATTTTAGCTTCCTTAAAGAGCACCATTACCTAGTCCAAGCAGCCTGAGTTTCCTAGTTTGCTAGAACGAGGGACCATAGACGGGTGACGGAGGTTTAGACAACAGAGGTTTATCGTCTCACAGTTCTGAAGGGCGAAGTCCAAGATCAAGGTGTCAGCAGGGTTGGTTCCTTCTGAGGGCCATGAGGGAAGGACCTGGTCCACACCTCTCTCCTTGGCTTGTAGACGGCCACCTTCTGCCTGTGTCTCTTCACTTGTCTTCTCTCTATATGTGTCTCTGCATCTGAATTCACCTTTTCATAACAACGTCAGTCACCCTACTAACCTCACTCTAACTCGATCACCTCTGTAAAGACCCTGTGTCCAAATAAGGTGTCACTGTCTGAGGTTCTGGGGGGTTAGGATGCTAACATGTGAATTTGGGGGAGCGGCATAGTTCAACCTACTGCACAAGCAGTTAAATTATATTTCAAAAAGGAGAATGCTAATTACCACCATAAGTTTTCAAATTTAGGATTATCTTCAATGAATGGTCTGTGTCTCAATTTAGATGCTAGAAGAAGTACGGATTCGTAATTGGCCCATTTGTAAACTGTACCTTGCCAAGGATCGCCACCTGTTGTCACTGTCAGTGCCAACCAAGTTGTTTTATTCGCTTATATTCAGATTGAAGCCAGCTGTGCTGCAGAAATTCGCAGCGCAGGCCGCATATTCTCAGCAGCAGATTCAATGCCAGGATGTCTCAGGCACAAGCTGGAATGTATATTTCCTAAACATTGAGGCCAAATAAGGCTGGAAATGGAAAAATTCAGATTCGATCAGCATACATTCCCCACAGAGGACTCTATACTTAGAGAACATGAAATACGATTATGGAGAGTCCGTCATCTTTGCATTCTATTTTACTTAATGTTAACTAATTCAGCAAGTATTCTTGAAGCATCTGACCGGTTAGAAGGGACTGTTTTGTTTACTACCCTCCCCCGGGCCTAGACCTGGTGCTCAATAATTATTTGTTGGATAAATAAGTGCAAGAACAATAAGCTATTGTCCTGACCCTCTAGGAGCCTACATGCCAGTGGAGAAAAAGACACAGGTAATTTACAATCCTGTCCAAACCAGGGAGGCCGCAGGCTCTTTCCTCATATGTGAGCATCCACCTGGTGGCCGTGTCTCCTGGGTCTTTGGCCCCCCCTCATCCCTGTGGTCAGCTTTCCATTTGCAGTGGCCTCCATAGCCATTGAATAAAAATGGTTACTGTGTTTTGAGATGATTATGATCAGTAATGTTTAGGAAGACTGATCTGGCAGCAGTGTCCAAGATAGATTAGAGAGAGGAAAAGACGGAAGCCAAAACATTGGGGACTTTAACACAATAATGTGAGATAACACTCTGATGGACCCCCCCCCCCATATAATGCTGGGTGGGCACTTATGCCTGTGGGCCCATCTCCTAGCAGCCCTGGGAGTTCATTATCTCCATCCTACAGAAGGAGTCACAGGTCCAGAGAAGTTGGGTAACTTTACCTGGGTCACACAGCTAATAAGAGGGGAGACCAGATTTGAACCTGGACTCTCTACCTGCAAAGTCTGTTTTCATTGTCTCCCCCTGAACTGCCCTGAGTGGGGAGAGGTCTTGGAGAATGGGGAGCAGAGAAAGGAGGGTCGCCACGGTTTCACAGCTGTTTAGCTGCATGGGATGCATCTGAGGCCAGGGATGGAGGGGAGGAAAGGGTCAGGGGCACCAACGGACCAAACTCGCCTTCCCACTCACACAAGTTGGCCAAACGAAACATATGTCCACTCCCATGTTGTCACAACTCAAAGGTGTGTCTTGGGGGACAGTGGGGCCACAGAGAGCGCCGACCCGTATGCAGAGCCTCAGCTCTCACAGTGGCACACTCTGCCCCACAGCTGGGATGCCCAGTGTAGGTAGAGGCACCTGGGACCTGGGGCAGAGCCAGGAGGCCTGGAAGATGTCTTGGTATCTAACTGGTCAGTGGCCCACATCTCATGAGCGAAGGACAGCCTTTCTACCCCTGAGACCTTCCTCAGTGGGCCTGGGGAAGGTGGTGGCATCCAGCTTCTGATCTGAATATAAAGACTTATTTTACTTAGTTTGTGATGAATTAGGCCTTCCCTCCATCTGTCCTTAGGCCACCTCGGCTGTATCCATGTGGCCTTTCCCCCGACACCAGAATGTACTTTATCTTTCTATGAATGCTTCTTCCTGTTTGAGGCTAGTATTCCGTTCTCTGGAAAATAAATCCTTCATCACGTCAAGTGCTGCCTTGCTCTTTACACAATGCAGATTCTTTTCACTCGTTTTAAATGGAAAGATGATGTCACCCAGTGTGAATGCACAGGTGATACCCGCGTCTCAGCATCTCCATCCCAAATATGCATTTGGTATGCACTTTGGCCAGTATTGCTCCTGTTGGAAAAAGTGTGTCCCTGTGTTACTATGTCGTGAATAAGACGGCTCCTCTGTGCCCCGCCAGGCTGGCGGAGCATTTCATGTGGCTCCAGGAAAGAGCTCTGTCATGTTCTGTTCGGTGGCTGCCAGGTGATAGCTGGAGAGTTTCATGGTGGCTGTGAAAATGCATCCTGCTTCATGCACAGCCAGGCACCAGTAGTTTTAGGGATGCTTTGCTGTTTGTTAGGACGTTCAGGAGTGTCCACTTTTCCACTGCGAACTATCCAAGCTCCAGGCCCAGGGAGGGGACAACCTGGGAAGGACTCACGCGAGGGGACTGTGGAGGTGTGGGCAGAAACCGGGTAGAGAGCAAGTTTGCGCAGTGGTTCAGGGTCGCAGCCTGGGGCAGGGTTCCGACCCTTGGCTACCTTATGTGAGATTGGTCACCTGCCTCTCTGGGCTCCAGTTTCCTCATCTCTCAGTGGCAATCACGTGGCCCTCGGGCACTTGTTACATAAACACGTGGACAGTGTGCAGAACAATGCCTGGCACGCAGGGAGCTGTCAGTGGCTGCCTCCGGCTCCGGGCCAGGGGCGTACCTTTCTTTAAACTCGGGTTTTCAGCCCAAACCACTGATGATAACAGCGTCCACCTACTGAGTTCATCCTCACAGTGACCCTGAAGATAGTGCTCTTACCGTCGCCCCCGTTTTGCCGATGAGGACATCGAGGTGCAGCGAGCTGGGTGAGCTGCCCCAGGTCCCGTACGCAGCAGAGCCGGGATCCAGCCAGGCAGGGCTGACACCAAAGTGGCCCTTGCAGCCACTGTGCAGCCTGCCCCTCCAGCAAGTCCTTTCTGAGCCACACTCAGCCCAGGCTGAGCTTCCCCCGGACACGCCCGCTGCCTCGATTTTCACATGGTGGACGCTGCACTCGGGTTTTTCTCGGGACCCCAGCTACTGTAGAAAGTGGCCCCAAGCAACTGCCACCCTGGCGCCTGCTGGGCCCCTCTGTCAGCTGTCCCCACAGTGTCTAGCTCAGGGACAGTCCTCCTGCTTGTGCCACAACTGCTGACTCACTCCCTGCTCTGCTCTGTGGTTTGTAAACCGTTCAGGCGTTTTGCCCTTTCGTGCTCAGCCTGCACCCCTTTGCTGCCGTGTTTCTCTTCTTTCCTCTGAAAAATGAAAGGCCTGCCTCTCGGCCGCTCCTGAGCCCGGGCCCCCATCCCGCCGGCTCTCCTGGAGGTGGGCAGCCCGCCCCTTGGTTCCCCGCACCGTCCAGGCCTGCCCCGGGCAGAAGCAACTGCTCCTTACTGTTGTTAAGGGTGTCACCAAGACCGAGGGGGAAGACAGGTGTGCCGGGTGTGGGGCTCCTGAGTGCCCGTGGCGATGCCAATCCCGATGCCGATGCCGGGGCTGGAGGATCGTGGCCTATAAAAGCGTCTCCCGGTACTTGTGGTTTGGCCAGTGAGCAACCCAAGGCGCTCTTAGGTTTCCGAAGCCTGGGTGTTAATGTCCTGGAGCCTACCCAGTATTCTGAAATGCACCCTACTGCACAGTCACCGTTATTGCTTTGACAATAAAATAATTGAATAGTTTGCTTTTGAAATTCTGTGGCCGTGAGAAACTCCTTTCATCTCCCATTGCCTGGGATTTCTCGGCTACCGTGGCGCAGCCTTGAGAAGCCTCCCACGGTGGGAAGCTGTGCTCTGGACTCAGGATGCGGTGGATTCGGTGACCGGTGTCAGATTTAACGATTAATGAACTGGGCATAACGGTCCATTTTATAAACAGTCTCTGATTTTGCATTTACAGGGGTGTTCTCAGGTTCAGAAACCGGTGGACTTTATTTACAGATCTCTTATTCCCACAGACCCTGGAAACGCGCAGAGGCCCGGGCCCGTGTCCTGAAGGCTCATTTAGGGTATATCGTGAGGAGTGCTCATCTGTCCCGGGGGGGTTACTCCCTGACTTTCTACTGCTTCAGAGCAGGAGAGATGGGAGCCGCTTTGTCCACTGGTCCCGTTATACACATCTATAAAGGAGGTGGCCGAGGGACCAGTTCCTAAGAGGCAATGCCAAGTTTTGAATAGATGCTGAGTGTTCTTTTGGCTGCTTAGGGCAGTCTGTGTATTTATACAAATCTGTGGAATTGCTCTCTTCGCAGAAGGAGGCTGACAGTGAATATTTATTTTCAGATGATCTCTGTTTATATTGAAGCATATGTCAGATGCTAAATCAAAAATCCATGTTTTCCCCTATTCCCAGGTCACATATGGGATTTTTTTTTCAAGTATTAATCCTTTGGTTACAATATATACACTCAAACCATATGGTTCTCCCATCCCATTCCTTGTGTTTTTTAAAATGCATATTAATGAAACGTTGGGGGCAAGAAAACTTGATTGAGAACAGTTTGAATATGTCATCCTGAGAGAGCAAAGGCTCCCATTGTGATGCACTACAAGCTGCTAATACCTTTCAAATGTGTTGCTGGACTGAACCTGATCACTTTCCAGAACACAGTCAGCCGAGGCCGACCTTTCTCAGGAAGCTCCTGTGTGGATGGATTCACAAACACGTCCATTTCCATGTAACCAACGTGGAAACAGGGAGTTACGAGTTGGACAATTTATAGAGGGAGCTAGTGAGAAGCATTGAGTGAAAAATGAATTTGTAATTGAGTTTTTAAAATAGGTTGTTATTGATTTTTTTAGAGAGAGAGGAAGGGGGGAGGGAGAGAGAGAGAGAAACATTGATGGGCTGCCTCCTACATGCCCCCTACTGGGGATCGAGCCCACAACCCGGGCATGTGCCCTGACCGGGAATCAAACCAGCAGCCTCTTGGTGCAGGGGACAGTGCTCAACCAACTGAGCCACACCAGCCAGGGCCTGTAATTGATTTTTGGATTACATCAGTTTCCTGAATGGTTGTGAGTTAAAGCGACTTTAACCATCTGATCTGTCTGTGGACTTTAACCATTTAATCGTCTGTGGATTCTTACTAATAGTACAATATAAAGTAGTCTCTGTGGTCATAAGCCCCAGGCAGTGCTGCAGCTGGAGTCTAGGAGGAAGGACCTGCCTCCCATGCATTTTAAAAGCATCTAAAATCTGTTGGACACACCTCCGTTTCTCCTGGTGTTCAGTATTACTGTCAGTATTTACGTTTCTCTCCTTCAGTGTGTCATAAATCATCTTAAAGTATTATAACACAGTGGCTAGAATGGTGTGCCCTATTTGTCTCTGAATTTAACGGAACAGAAGCTACATCTGTGTGGCTCCGTGGGGTCAGGAAAATTCTGACGGTGCACCCCAGCCAGACGAGATCTCCTCCACCGGGCTGGAGTGTGTCTCCGCTCCCCGCGGGGACTTGCAGTCACTCATTGTGTGCTTCTCGTGGAAACTTCTGAGCACAGTTGGCCTTGCAGCCCGGGGCACACTCGCGGGTTTCCGTTACGATGCATTTGCCTGAATACTGGAAATGGGTGATCTGGTTTGAAAAAGTGCCAGCTCTTTTCTAAACTTCCTCATTTTGAGAGGGTTAATTCTGTTCTAGGAAAAGTTTTGACAGAATGGCTTTCTGAGTGCCAGCAAAGTGTTATGTTAGAAATAACGGTGTTTACTTCCATTCTCTGTTTCTTTCCATAAACTTTTTAGAGGTTCATTTCCTAAATCTGACTTTTATTATTTCACTTGACCTGGCCAATATAAATGGCATGAAGTCACTATTGCCATCAGCATCATGGCACATTCTTCCTCACAAAATAGGAAAAATGTGCCCTCCCCGCCCCCACCAAAACACCACGTTGACCTGGCTGTTCTTCTAAGGAAGTCAGGAATGGACGGAACCAACCTGCCGTCCTTTTGCCCCTGGGAATTCCCTGCTTTTTATGAAGGACTTGGGTCTGTGACCCGCCTGATAGTCACCAAGGATCATCGTCTGGGGCAGGTTCCCTAGATGCACAGTTGGAATAAGGACCCTTATGAATGTGATTAACTAAGGGCGTGTTCTAGGGGGGAGAGGAGGGCAGGCCAGGGAAGAGCTGAGGACACTGGGGCCCTAGATGACCCCTGCTTCAGTCTGATCACAGGGAACCTCAGGAGCATGAACAGCATCACAGACTAGGCCCCTCCCTGAGGCAGGGGGGCCTGTCCCCAGGGGCTTTGGTCTGTCTGTCTGCCCACGGGCTGCTCCTGTCTAGCCACAGGCAGTTATCTGGAGGACAGGGGAGGCCCCAGCATCTGAGGGTCAGGGGCACCGACCTGGCAGAGGGACCCAGGTGCACCAGTAGCACCCACTTCTGCCAGTGGAGAGAGACCGCCTTTATGTGGAACCCGTCCTCACTGGTCTGTTTCCTGTCCCCCCTTTAGGGAGCGGGCAGATCCAGCTCTGGCAGTTCCTCCTGGAGCTCCTGTCCGACAGCTCCAACTCCAACTGCATCACCTGGGAAGGCACCAACGGGGAATTCAAGATGACGGACCCCGACGAGGTGGCCCGGCGCTGGGGGGAACGGAAAAGCAAACCCAACATGAACTACGATAAACTCAGCCGCGCCCTCCGCTACTACTATGACAAAAATATCATGACCAAAGTCCACGGGAAGCGCTACGCCTACAAGTTCGACTTCCACGGGATCGCCCAGGCCCTCCAGCCCCACCCCCCGGAATCATCTCTCTACAAGTACCCCTCGGACCTCCCTTACATGGGCTCCTATCACGCCCACCCACAGAAGATGAACTTCGTGGCTCCCCACCCTCCGGCCCTCCCCGTGACGTCCTCCAGTTTTTTTGCCGCCCCAAACCCATACTGGAATTCACCGACTGGAGGTATTTACCCTAACACTAGGCTCCCGGCCAGCCACATGCCTTCTCACCTGGGCACTTACTACTAAAGACCCGAGAGAGGCCTTTCCCAACAGCACACAGTCGCCAACACATTGCCACAAACTCTATTGGAAAACAGGAATCAAAAAGTGCCTCGAGAGGAGTGAGGGAGCTTGGCAGGGGCTGGGGAAGGAAGCCAGGGGCGAGATCCAAAGACTCTTAGCGGGAGGGAATTACCAAAGTATTACTGCAGAAATAAGAGGGCGCCAAAAACGTCACGCATACGGACATATAATCTGTGGGCCAGCCTCGTAAAGGACATTGTACGTAGAAGCATGAAGTCATAGAACGAAGTGCCAAAGAGAGCGGTCTTGAGACGTGTATACCCTTTAGAGTAGAGTCTGGGATCCTGCTAACGCAAACGGGGTTGAACTGAAGCAATACAGGTCACAGTCTGGACCTAACATACCGTTCGTAAAGTCATTTTAAGGAAAACTACCTGTATTTAAAAGTAGAAACATATCAAAAAGAAACAAAGAGACTGTGCAACAGGCGTTGATACGGGACTCATCGGCGTTGGCTGTTTCGGGTGAAATCGGAGTCATTCCATTGGCTGGAGGGCGGCCAGCTCTCTCAAACTGTGAAGACCACCCAGAGGGTCCACCTCCTTTCCAGTTTTCCGGGAACAGGAGCCGAGCGGCGGGACTGAGCACGTGCGTGGAGAGGATGCGTTTGTAGAGCGAGGGCTGGGGGATGTGCGAGCGAGCAGAGGGGCCGAGCGGGCCGAGGCCGGACTGGGCAAGGGCTCCTCAAGCAGTGCGGGCCGGACTGAGGGCAGGGTCGGGGCTGCGGAGAAGGCATCGCGGAGACTTGAGGCTGAATGCGGTCAGTGTCACGCCAGACCCAGTGTTAGCGGGGGCCGGGGGGACGCGGCGCGGCGGAATGGAGCGAGGGGAGGCGGTAGGATTCAGACACAAAAACATGCATCTCTTCTTTTTGTTTGTTTGTTTGTCAAAAGAAAATTGTAACTGGAATAGTCTGATATTTAAAAGAATCATTCGGGACGGCATGGTTTCATGGGGGCCCTGTTCCCCACGGGGTCAGGTAAGAGACGCTCTTCTTGGCCGCCGCACTCCGGCATCACCCGGGCATCTGGGCCAGGCGGGCTCCAGTGTTCCCTTCGAGTCGCGAACGCTGTGCGTTTGTCAGAATGAAGTACACACGTCAATGCGGTTTTTTCCCCCCCTTTTTATATAATAATTATATAACTTATGCATTTATACACTACGAGTTGATCTCGGCCAGCCAAAGATACATGACAAAAGAGACAATCAGTGATATAATGTGGCCTTGAAACTTAACTCTGTATGCTTAATGTTTACAATATGAAGTTATTAGATCTTAGAGTGCAGAATGTATGTAATAAAATAAGCTTGGCCTAGCATGGCGAATCCGACTTACCCGGGAGTCTGCCTTGGCACTTTTTTAGCGACTGCAGTTGCCTGAGAGAAACCTGTGCTGAATGTTGTGGGTTTTGTGTTATACTTTTAACATCTCCAGGAACTTGAGGAGTGAGAGCCAAGCCAATAGGATGTTTGGCACCCAAACAGCATCGGCTCTCCAGGTCCTCCTTGCCCACTCTCTTTTATTCCTGGTCCCTCCTGGAGCAGAAAGACCAAAGATTTCCTCCTGGGGCCTCCGTAGTCATGCCTCTGACGCTGAGATTGTCGTTGAGACATTCCCGATTAGCACCGGGACACAAATCACCCTTACTTCTTTCTATGATCACGAAACATTTGCTGAACAGTGAACAAGCTGTTGCTCTTGGTTCCAACTCTATTACTGTTGGAAAATAAAGCGCCATGGATAGCTGCAGCCCCTCACTTTAAAGAAACAAGGGACAGCTTCTACATTTCCCACTTGCCTTCTCTTTCCAAGGATCTCGCCAGGTTACCCATGGCCTTGATCTTCCCTCCCTGGGATCATCTGGGTGCTGTGGCGTGGGATCCACCAGCCCCGGGCCTGAGATCTTCCCAGGCACTGTGTATTTCTCTGATCTAAAGTCAGTTTGCCTTGACATCTTTCTCTCCTGTGTGCCAACCTTGGCCAAGGTGACAGCAGTTTGAGAGGCAGGACACGAAGCAGTGTGAGGGAGCAAAGCTGACCAACCTCTCAGCCTGAGTCCGTCTCTGAGCTGGGCCCTCGCACAGCTGGTTTGGGGCTTGCTTTGAGCACTTTGCAGTCCTTGAGCTGTGCTTAAGTGAAGTTGCCAGGCCTCAGTGCTGTGGATGTTTTGGCAGGGTCTTCAAAGTTGGTGGGATCCCATTCCCACTGTGTTACTTGGATTAAAAGAAGTTCTACCATCAATCATTTCCCAGCAGCCTGGGAAAGCCCCCCAAAGTGCTTCTATCTCTTAGGGGGAAAATATAAATAAATAAAAGCACAAGAGCTGGCAGCTGGGGGACTCACACTGCTCCGAGGGAAAAGATCAGTCATTTCTATTCTGGGTGCAAAGTCAAGGCGCACCTACATTCTGCATAGAAATACAGATGTGCTCGGATAATCACTCAGTTCCACGCCTTCAGGGCTGCATCATAAGCAAAATAATAGAAACAAGGCATGATGGTCATATTCAACTCCACCAGATGTTTTCCGTTAGATTCCCCGGCACCCCACCCCCAGATTATTAGCAAGCCTCATGACACACATGGTGATTCTGGATAGGTTGATAATGCCGAGTCCTCCCCAATAAATCATTCTTAAATTGTGTCGTGAAAGAACATCAACCCTCTGCCCCTGTCGTAATCTAGTTTCACAGCACTTTCCAATTCGTGCTCCTGATTCCACGAGGAACCTTTCTCCCTGCTCCTTCCACACCTTCCCTTGCCCTGATGTGCTCTCGTGACCCCCTCGTAGTCTCACTTCTGCTGGCAGGAGATGCGGCCTCTCTCTCATCTCAGTCTTCGGGGTACTTCACGGAACCTGTATACTCCCAAGGCTCAGCCAGAACTTCATTCTGGCTCCCAGGCGGATGTCCTGGCCACGTCTCCCAGGGTTCAAGGTGAGGCCATAGGCAGGGACTGGTGCAGTTAGAAAACTTGGGAGTGGGGTGCTGGGGGGGCGCTCCTCAGATGACAGGTGCAGGGCAGACAGCTGGTGCTCTGGAGCTGGGAAGGTGATGGCAAAGAGAAAACACGGGTGTCCCTTGGTCCCGAAATGGACCTTTAACTGTGGAAACAGACAATGTAGTTTTTTAAAAACCTTGTTTAGTCTCTCATCACACCCTCCAAATAGAAGTTTTCCGATGACTAATTAGAGAATTAAAAACACTTTGCACTATCGAAGGTATATCAGGTTCTGTTCCTTCTCTATTTATCTTAACCTTGTTTTTAGAAATCTTGTTAAAATGCTTTCATGTCAAATGAGGAAAAGGTTGGATACAGAAATCAAATAGTAAAGGTAACTAGGACCTCTTCATTTATCACGATCAGTGGTTCTCAAAGTGTGGTCCCCGGACCAGCAGCGCCAGCTCCCCCTGGGAACTTGTAAGACACACGCGTATCCTCAGACCCTGCCCCAGACCTGCTGAAGCAGAAGCTCAGGCATGAGTTCTAACCCAGCTCGGTTCCCACATCCCTTACAGGTGATCTGACACCTGATGAAGTTCGTGGAAGAGATGACCTGTGCCCAGGTGTGGCATGTTCAGTGTGAAATCTCAATCCCATCGAGTTTTCTCTATGGCCGCATGGAGATTGACCATGAGGTTAAGCCGGTTACTCTGGAAGTGTCATCCTGGGTTATGCTTCCTTTGAGCAACTCTCCTTCCGACTATTATACATAACCTTCCTGTATGTATTAGTTACCAGCTGCTGAGTAATTAATGAACACAAACTCCTCAGCATGAAACAACACACATCTGTTATCTCAGTTTCCTTGGGTTAGAAGTCCAGACACAACGTAACTGGGTCCTCTGCCCAGGATCTCACCAAGCTGCGATGCAGGAGTCAGCCAGGACTGTGATCTCATCTGAAGCTGGGATCCTTTTCTAAGCTCACTGGTTGTTGGCAGTAGTCAGTTGCTTGCGGTTGTAGGACTGAGGTCCCGTTTCCTTACTGGCTGTCAGCCAGGAACCACTCTCAACTCTTAGAGGCCACTCAGGGTCCTTCCCTCATGGCCATCTCCACAGCAAGGCAGTTGCTCCTTCAAGGCCACCAGGAGACTCTCTCAGTTTGACTGTCTTTGACTTCGTTTAAGGGTTCTCCTGATTAAGCCAGGCCCACCCAGGATAATCTCCTTTTAAAAAAAAAATTAACTCACAGTAAATTATTAGGGCCTTCATTACATCTGAAAAATTACTTTTTCCATAGAATGTAACCTAATCATGGGAGTTAGAATCGCTCATATTCACAGGTCCCACTCACATCCAGTAGAGAAGATTATGTAAGGCATGTGCACCAGGGAATGGAAATCTCGGGGTCCATATCTGAATTCTGCTCATACACTACAGGTAAGTATATCTTCTGTCGTTTTCTAAGTTCCATATACCTGAAGCCCTGTGCTCCATGGATCCTTTTCTCACCAGCAATGTGGACCTCTCTGAGCAAGTCTGATGGTCTTTCTCTGACCAATTTGCAAATTTTTATGTTGAAAATGTAAGGGCTAGTGCTTTTCAATAGTATTTAATTTTCTCTTGATTTTATTTAAAAGCCAGCCCAAGTTCTATATATAGAGAGAGAGTTATACAGACTCTTCTAACTTACACTTTTTATTTTAAACTAACTTTGTAAAGCAAAATAGCTTCATTTTTTCTCATAAACATTTTTTATAAAATATTATCCTGGCAAGGCAAGACGTAGTATTACTTGATAATGATTTGTGCCAGAATTATGCAGGAAGCATGTTAAATGTAAGAACTTTATAAAAAACGAAAGAAAGAAATGAGTTTTTCATGTTTCTTGGACACTAACATGCTCCCTTAAAAAAAAAAAAAAAAAATGGTAGCCAGAATTTCTTCTTGAGAGGACTTCATAAAACAGTTGTGAGGGTTTTACAAGGTCATGACTGGCTGAGTGGACTTGGCCAAAGAGTACTAATTAAAGACAACACCCACCTGGAAGGGAGGTCCTGGGGACAGATCCCAGGTCTCTGCCCTTGACCTTGTCCATGCCTTACTAGAGTGAGGCCATAGCACAGTGAAGACCATTCCAGATGCTGAGAGCTGAAAGGACAATTTCAGGATCCCAAAGACCGGGCTGAAGGGATGGGCCAAGTTTAACAATGATGTCAGGATCCACATCGAGTTCAAAGCACATGGGAGCTGGGCTGGGCAGAAGCCCATGTGAAAAGCACGCCAGGGATTGGAGATGACCGCAGTGACATGTGGAAGACCCAGCATTCGTGAGCTGAGGGGACAACACTGTGCGAGCCCTTCAGATGCATTGTCTCCTGACTCCTTCCAGTCATCCTCACGATACAAATTAAAAACAAAAAATCCTGACCCTCAGATTGAACAATTTTCTGAGCTCACCCAAGGTGTAGGAGGCTGAACTAATGCTTGTCTGAGTACTGACCCTCAAAGCTCTACTCTTCAACTATTTTGCCTCATATTGACAGGACATGGGGTGGGGTGACACGACCACCCAAAGTTAGGTTGCATTTTCTAAACTAGACTGTAAAAGAGAACTTATTTATTCTGTTTTAAGCTGCTTCTAACATCAGTTCTGCATACACACTCGCCAGCTAGAGTAAGCCCAGATACTAAATCTTATTATAAAGTTACAGTAATTAGGAATCACAGTAGGAGATGGCTCAGAAAGAGACAATTATATCAATGGAACAGAAGAGAAGTCCATAAACAAGTCTAAAATAGATGGCTACCTGATACAGTCAGAAATGAGGCTGAATATTGGTGTAGAAAGAATGGACTTTTTAATAGATGGAGCTAGAACAACTGGACATCCGTATTGGGGAAAAAATACATTGCCCTGCTACATAGCACCTCACATGTGGTCAGGAACTAAAACTGAGAGTGCAAAAGTAAAAAAGACTTCAAAGATACTACAGGAAAAATCTTGATGACCTTGAGGTGCAAAAGAATTTTTTAAAACCGGGACACAAAACCTATAAACTATAAAAGAAATACTGACAAAATTTTTATATTAAAATTAAAAACTTCTTTTCATTAAAAGATTTCATTAGAGCGAAAAGACAAACTGTGCACTGAGAGAAATATTTGTAACCCATCTAACCAAAGCACCAGTATTAGAATATATAACTATTATAAGTCAATAAGAAAAAAACAGCAGAAAAATATGTAAAAGAATTGAATGCCTTCTTAAGAGTGGAAACATGCTGGACAATAAATGCATGGACAGTACTCAAGCTCCCGGGGATCAAGGATATTTAAATTAAGACCGAAATGATGTCCATGGGACACCTGCCATATTGACAAACATAAGGT